GCCTTGTACAGTTTCTTAAAAGTTTATTTTCATATTACTGTTGCAACAGTTCTCTTTCTAAGTATGTTCAGAATTGCTGATGTCATCATGAGGAAGTATAAATTCCCTTTTTTTGTAATGCTAGGAGCTGACCCAACCAAGAGCAAATGATGTCGGCTAACAGTCGATTGATTTATTATTTTTTTGGGCGCCGCAACTGCAAAGGTCATTAGTCCCGAAGGTGTAGTGTTTTTATAGCGAAAAGTGGCGGTAATCTTTCCCCGCTGCATGGGCAGATCCGATGTCGCCCCACACGTCGGCTTGCGGAATTATCCACAACCAGGTATTACTCGGGCAACTTTTCTTGAACGATGGATTGACGATTTCGGGTGGAGTGGGGGTATTAGTTACAAAGTAGGCCACTAGAGTATTTTAAGTAATGCCAACGTCTGTGAAATAAAAGTCAAAACTGCATCGTGTGCTTAACTTTTTCGGAAGTTTTAGGTGACTCCCTTGAAGGACCTGGACCTGACTCAGCCATTTCTTTCGATATTGACAATAAACCTGAACAGGGATTCTGCACTATGAAAGCAACTGGCTTTTACTAGATTCTGTTTCGCGCCAACGAAGTTTTAATGCTTGGAAGGTTGTCATCAGTGCCCGCTGCGAGCTTTTGCGTTCAACTGTTTCTTGCACAAGGGAGGGGGATCAAAGTCATCGTTCAAGAAAAGTTGCGCGAGTAATATCTCCCACCAGGGGGGATCGCACCAGTCGGAACAAGTTCTAAGCTCCCAATTGGTCCCCCGACATGACATGTGTGCATGCACACACTGTGTACATGCAAGCGTGAGTGTACGAGTAAGGGCATTCGCGTGGTGTCGATCTGAGAAATCACGGAAAACAAACGATCAGAACAATTGGTCACAAAAAGTCTTCTCCACAGACGGGCTGAAATAGACATAGCTATGTAGCAAGTTTCGAAAATTATGCCACCGTTGGAATTCAAAACCTACATTTTCTTTCGAAATTAATTCTAACCTTAGAATCAAGAAAATAATTCAAAATTCAAAGTGGATATTTTGTTCGTCCTTCTCTCTTCTCTCGAAAACTTGTTTGTTATTTAAATACTCTCAAATCCTATTTATTTTTAAACTACTTAATTAAAGAGAGATTTCTGAGATTAAGCACTTTCTTTATTCCGTATGTGTATTATAAAGATTTGATATTTTATTAATAAGTGAAATTTTTCCGCAGAATTTCTTGATTGGAATTCACACCGTCCAGTCACATTAATGTGACCACCCGTCAACATTCTGTGTAACTCCCTTTTGCAGCGATGGCCGCTGCGAGACGTGCAGGAAGAGAGTGATTTGGTTCCGGATGGTGGATTGGGCTGGAAGGTGGAGCCATGTCGACTCTACTGCCGTGCTCAGCTGCATTCGGTTCCACGGTTGCGGATCCATGGCGCGAACAGCGCGATCAAGATGCTCACGGCTCTAACGACGTCAGTATCGCCGAAAACAGGGTGCCTTAAACATGGTGTTCCAAGTCCCGATTGGGTTAAATTGTGAAGGGTCTCCGAGATCAGATTCCCGATTGGGTTTAAATCGAGGGAGTTTCGGGATCCGATGCCAACCTACACGTAGCCTCACTCGCTTTCCCTCAACCAGATATCTCCCACCAGCGTAGCACCGCCCCAGCCCGGACATGCTTTAAGCTCTCGACTGGTCTGTCGGTGTGGATAGTGTAGTGTATTTAAGTGTGTGTTAGTAAGGAGTGAGGATAGGACTAGGAAAAGGAAGAAAAGATCGCGTGCCCTGGTGGATGTTCGCGGTCGCCCGTTCTCACACATCTGTTCTGTTCCAGCGAGTAAACTCCGGGGTGGGCCAACTGGACCTTCAGGCCATGACCTCACCCCCTTCACGAGGCTCAGTATCCCCCTCGGACTGGAAGCAGCGGCACCCCGGAGACAGCCAAACCAATTAAGTTTGAGTGGGGCCACCCTACTTGTCAGAGCTACTAGTTTTCCGGGCAATTACCGGAGTTTAATTAATTGCCACTCACATTCTCCTGGAAAACTCAATTGCGCGAGAGTAAAGGGTACTGCCACGAACCCGAGAGCCCAGCTGGGGGCGCCCGAACTAAGACCGCACGTCTTGAGGGCTTCCATCCCGTCTCCTCGCTGCAGACAGCGCTAACGACGTGAGTATCGCCGAGCACAGGGTGCCAGTCGGGTATTCCAAGTCCCGATTGGGTTAAATTGTGAAGAGTCTCCGAGACCAATCGGTTGTCGTCCGGACGCGTAACGACATAAAGACGTCGAAGCAGAGTGCCGGGCCGTAGTGATGGCAAATTTTACCTATACATCAATATTTCGATACATCGACAAAAGGTTTTCGAAGTTGATGAAAACATCGACAAAAACATCGATGTTTTAAATATGATAAAAGAGGTGGTATTTTCCCATTATATTTCCATTTTAATGACAGTACTTATAGGAGTTATATTGTTTGGTCACGTATAAATAAAGATAAAAATATTGTTTGTCTGTTGTAAAGAAGAAAATAAAACATGAAGGACCTCGTGTTTTGCTATTTTTTTCATTTATTCACTTTCATTCATAAATCATTTAATTAAAACGTATGTACCAATACTTAATTCGTAAATATTAGTTTTAAGTGTATTCTGCGTTAAATCACCGTCATTTTAATTTTTAGCTAATCCATACTAATAAAGGTGAATTCAGCGACATGTAATCGACATCGCTTCCACAAAAAAGAGTGTCTGAATGTATACGAAATTTTTCAGGCTCTTCTTCAAGATTGTCGCAATGTCCTTGCAAAATTTGGTAAAGACTAATACAACAAAAATGCGGAAAAAATATTTTAAATAATATGCGACCATTATATTTCGCGTGTCGCTAAGAGACAGGTTTCATAAATATTCCGCCAGAGATCAGCAACAGCGGTGCGGTTCAACTGTGTGCCCGACCTCCATGAAAGAGGCACATTCTCGTGTTTTGTCTCGCAGTAGGTTTTTGTGCTGTTAATGTTGTTATAACTCTACTTAATTTTTTTTTTTTAATTTATTTCTGCCTGGCCTGATGGTCCTCAGCAGCCGAATACGATACTTGAAGGTACAATGAATTATTTTAGCCTCGTTTAAGGACTATTATTCACAGATGAATACATTGAATATGTGGATTGAATATACGAAGCCACATCGGGGGGGGG